TTGGGGAGATCATTTTTTTTTTCATTATTATTTAGATCTCAATTCTAACTTAGCATCAAAAAAAAACTTCTTTCCTTTTTGTTTATATATATATATGAGAAAAAAAAAATTAGTTTTTTTATTCAATTTTATTCAATCGATATTCATATCAAACAAAAAAAAAAAAAAAGAATTTTTTTACTTCTATTTTTACAGAAAAAAAAAGAATGGCATTATTCATTGCAACAAATTGAATACAGTTTTATAACCTTTTTTTCTTCTTCCTTTTCTGATGTGTTTTTTTTCCCAACCAATCTGTCATCAGTACAATACGCTAAACGTTTTATGACTGTTGCCTGCACTAAGTTTGGCTAAGCTGTTTTTTTTCCTTGTCCCTTCTTTTGTTACCGTTTGCTGTTGTTGTTGTCATCGTTGTTTCAACGTATTTAACGAGGGAAAAAAAAACACAGAAAAACTCTGTTACAATTGGCTTAACTATAAGTTTTTTTTTTCGCTTCATTACAACCTTTTTCGTTCAATTTTTTTTTTGCACGCCGAACAATACAGATTATTGTCATATCAGAAAAGTGCTGTCTCAATTGCTATATCGGTCAAATCAAAAGTTCAAATGCCATTTGCATTGTACTTCACCATAACAACATTCTTCACATCACTCAATTATGCATTTTGCAACAGGTTAGACCACTATATTACTACAATGAAAAAAAAAAAAGCAACTCTCATCTGTCTTCTTCTTACTGAAAGCAGTTATTTTTGACGCAACATCGGCCATCAGAAGCGTTGAGTAAAAACTATATTGAAAAGAAGACAAAGAAAAAGAAAAAAGAACAGAAGCCGGAAATGTAGAGGTATGAAAAATTAACTAAGTTACCAGACTGTCGCTGAAAAATCCAAGTCTAGTCATAAAATGGTAAAAATCAGATAAACTGTCTGACTGAATACCTGAACACCCGTACCTCGTCATCGTTAATCTAAGGCTCAAATGTTTCCATTGTTATTGTAACTGTACCAACAAATATTTTACCCAATGTTATCAGCAGAACAACGACGATCAGCGAGCACAGCACAAATTTATCAAATGTTCGAAGCAGAAAAGAACCAAAAAGGTATCCAGAAATAAATATGTAAATAAAACAGAACGAGAAAAAAAAAACTTACCAGATTAGTTTGAACATAATTTTTGAGATCACTTTTCAAATAGAACAATTTATGATTAACCCTCTTAGAAATTATTACCAGCAGTATAAAAGAGAAAATTTATTTTTTGCCCAGTAAATTTTTTTTTCATCCTTAAATCATTCTGAAATTGTACCCAAACTTTTGTTTTTTCTACGCTATCAGCAATTAATATATTGTCAGTTCTTCTATTTGTGCTTTCAACAGAACAGTGACTGAAAATACATATCAAAAAGATAAAAATTTTTTTGTGAAGCTAAATTGCAAAAAGACATCATCAATTCACCTACCGACAAACTGTACCGGCTGTCCCGGTGTACTGCCTCGGAGCGGTTCAATTCTAACTTTATCTGCCGAATAAGCCGATACCATCAGTGGATATGGATCAATTTTTTTACCACATATAATAGCTTCTAAACGATGTTCACCTACCTAAATATTTGGTTTCCTTAACCCCGCAATTACTGCTCATTGATTTAAAAAACAAAAATTTAAAAAATAAAACTTTTGTTTCTTCAAAAACCCAACACAAGCATTTTTTTCTTTTACCATAAATATATAACAAAAATTTTTATACTCAACGACAATAACACTAGTGAAATTGATCATCAACAACTATCCGTTTCAATTAAACAGTTCGTTAAATAACCTTTCTGACTTGTTTTTCAGCTTTAAACACTCAGTCAACAAATCTGTTGTCAGTACAGTTTTTTTTTTTTGCTTTCCTCCACATTCTTTTTTTTCGTTCCATTGACCATATAATAAAAAAAAA